CAAAAAAAAAAAAAAAAAAAAAAAAAAAAAAAAAAAAAAAAAGGTACAGTCAGGGAGAGTGAAACAGCAAGTGTCTACAGAAGCTGCTGTCTGTACAGAGGTGGCCTCTTTGGGAATCCAAGTGGACGTCCCTTAGAACAGAGAAAACTACTGGCTGTCCTCCTTGGAGCTTCTACGAGGGCTACCAGGCACCTCTGTAATGACCATCCCGTAAGCCCATCAGATGTACTGAACATGACTCAATGCACAAGTCTCGGTGATCCCCCTGGTTAACAATGACAATAAGCTAACTCTTAGGGGCACTGACTATGTGCCCCGTTATCCCCATCTATACAATGGAGTCAGCTAAAAGAGCACTGCTTATAGAGTTGTGATGAGGTCACCCGTGCAGAAACACTGAAAGTCCTCCCTGGCACAGAGTATCTGCTCAACAAATCTTAGCTAGTATAATCATGAGAGTGACAATGAAGACATCTTCTCTAAGGAAACAACAGAGCTGTATCTTGCTTGGCTGCAAGTCAGCTTCTAAAAGTGAAAATTACATTTGGTCAAAGTTCTGGAAACCCCTGCAGTCACCCATAAAGCACAGCATGCACGGCATGGTGCCCACTCTCCTAAATAATTCTTTTGTTGCGGAAGAGATCCTTGTTCCTTCTGGGGAGCTCACCAGCTGAAGTCGTTGCTCACTTTTAGGGGCCAAGGAAAGAGGCGGTTTTGTTTGTGTGCATATCAGACTCTCCCGGATCTACTGGAGGGGATGAGACTGGTGCACAGAAATGCCCAACGATGCTTGTTTCTATGACCGGCTGGCAAAACTCAGCTGAATGGAACAGACTTCAACGGCTTCGGGAATTCAGAGGACGACGACAACCAGGTGGTCTGAAATGATTCCCCTTTTCTCTTTCCAAACCTCAATGTTGGGTGACAGTAAATGGCAGTGGAATAGAACTGGAACCGAATGATTAGAGACCCCCATTTCGAGGAGGATGGAGAGAGACTGAAGGAGAGGGGGACAGAGAGGACAGGAGGGGAGCACGGCTTGGGGGCAATCCCCATGCCCCACACTGCAGGGTGGACTTACTTCTTCAGTGTCTGAAAGCCACGCTCTTTGAACTGTAGCTCCTGTTGGAGGTGAGCCATCTCTCTCTTCAGCTTGTTAACCTGGATGGCAGAAGACCACACACGGGGCTGGGTCAGAGGTTGGTATCAATCCAGAGTCCCCCACTGCCCCTGCATAATGACTCAGGTCAACATCCCTTGGGCCCCCCCTCACTGATGTTGCCTGGGTCTCAGCAGCTGCGCGTTCGGTTGGCATCCCAGTCCAGCTGTCCTACAGGTCATTCCTAGCTGCCCTTGCGCCAGAGAAACAGGAAGCGGACAGGAGCTGGCTAACCTCTCTCATGCCACCTCACCTCTGTGAGCCTCCCCTTCCTATTCTGACAGATGAGGAGAATAGCAATTTCCTGGGTCGTGCATTACTTAAAGCAGGCACTGGATATGCTAGTGCATGGAGGTAAGAGGCAACGTAGTAACTTTACAGGCAAGACATGGCCAGGGAGCCAGCTTCAGCCTGCAGGATTGCTTTGTTTGGCTTGCAGTGCTATTAAATTTTTAAAAATTAGTTTCTAATGATTAAATATTGAGATGTTTCATATACTTGGCCTAGATATACAGTTCTTTTCTAAAAATACTGGAAGATCTGCCAATGCGGAGCCTACATTCCAGCATGGCCATAAGAGCGTAGGGCTGAAATTCCACTACCCCTTTAGACAGGGCCCACCCCCTAGGCTACACAGTCTCCACTACTCCCTACTGCCTCACTGCCAGCCCCCGCCCCCTTTCATGTGTTCTTGCAGGCATCTGAATTTGTAGAACCTATGTGAAGGTGCACTAAACCAGAGTTTACAACACTGACTTCACCTTGAGCAAGTCATTTAACTGCTGATCCTCCGTTTCCACATCAGTAAAGGGGGAATAAAAATATCTCTCCCCCTAAGGTAATCAGGAAGTAATCAAATACAGTACTGCAGAATAAGCAGTGGTTAGCAAGACAGCATCTTTTTTTTTTTTTAAGATCTTTTTGATGTGGACCATTTTTAAAGTCTTCATTGAATTTGTTACATGATTGCTTCTGTTTTATGTTTTCGGTTTCTCAGCCGCTAGGCATGTGGGATCTTAGCTCCCCGCCTAGGGATCAAACCCCGGCCACCTGCATTGGAAGGCGAAGTCGTAACCCCTGGGCTGCCAGGGAAGTCCCAGCAAAATAGCTCCTTACACTAAAAACTTTAAAGTAAGCCTTGAGTCCCTGTGACCTTGGGCAAGTTACTCAGTCCCCCCCTAAGCCACTGTCGGCTCATCTTCAAAATGCAGATATTGACAGCGGCTACATCGTGGGCCTGTCTCAAGGGCACGAGGTAGAACTCGTGAAGCATTTAGGGCTACTCCTGGCATAGAGTGAGTGCTTGAGAAAGGGTGGCTGCTATTACCATTACTATTTCAGAAACGACGGCTACTACTGCTACTATTGTCATTATTTAGAATCTTGTTAGTCAGCACTGGCTGCCACTGCCTGGTTGAAGCTCTCCTCTGGTCTTGTGGGTGGGCTAGTAGCCTAAGGCTGCCTCAGTGACCCCCATCAATAGTATAAGCAAAGAGGACCTACCCGGGATTTTGCTGTGGCAATTTCAGCCTTCAGGATCTCAGGGTCATACTTAGAGCTGGATGACGAACCAGAGACCACTGCAAGGAAAAAGAAAAAAAAAAAAAATTTCTATAGAAGAAACACATTTTGGTCAAGTTGGCTTATTTAGCCATCTAGGTAAACGCAGAAAGGAATGACTATTAGTGAGCGACCTGAATGTCCAACAAAGGGGAATTTGTTAAATAAATATGGTACACATATAAAACGGGGACTATATAACTTAAGTGATTTAAAATGATGGTGCTGAAGGATACTGAACATTTGGGAAATGTCTAAAACTTACTGTTATATAAAAACAATAATTTACAAAAAACCACAAAGAAGGAATAAGTTAAATTTGTAAAATATACACAGTTAACAAATACACACGCACACACACACACATCTGGAAAAAGACCAGAGAGAAATATAGCAAAAAGATAATACTGCTATCTAGAGAGATTTGAATGATGAATAACATTCATTTTCGTCTTTGTATTTTTCTGTCTTTGCTACATTTTCTAACACAAACATACAATTTTTAATCAGAAGAAATTACTAAAAATATTTATTGCACTTTACAATATTAATGTACATTTGAAAAGGAAAATAAATTACCTGTAATGCTAAGGTAAAAAATAAATTACCTTCTCTCCAAGTTACCTTCCAACGTTTATCTACAGTTCTATCATGTACAGTCATACCTCAGAGATACTATGGGTTTGGTTCCAGACCACCATAATAAAGCAATTATCGCAATAAAGTGATTATTGCAATAAAGCGAGTCACACGAATTTTTTTGTTTCCCAGTGCCTAACAGATCTATATTTACACTATACTGCAGTCTATTAAGTGTGCAATAGCATTATGCCTAAAAAAAAGTACATATCTTAATTAAAAAATACTTTATTGCTAAAGAATGCTAACCATCATCTGACAACGCCAGGTTGCCACAAACCTTCAGTTTGTAAAAACCACAATCTGTGAAGTGTCAATGAGGTATGCCTTTAGCTGTAATCTTACTGCGTTTTAAAAGTAGTATTTCTTTGTGTCTTGATAAAGGATTTTAAGGCTTACAAAAATGGACACAACAGAGTGATCCATTTAAAGTAAGGAAAATGAGGGCTTCCCTGGTGGCGCAGTGGTTAAGAGTCTGCCTGCCAATGCAGGGGACACGGGTTCGTGCCCTGTCCGGGAAGATCCCACATGCCGCGGAGCGGCTGGGCTCGTGAGCCATGGCCGCTGAGCCTGCGTGTCCGGAGCCTGTGCTCCGCAACGGGAGAGGCCACAGCAGTGAGAGGCCCGCGTACCGCAAAAAAAATAATAATAATAAAAATAAAGTCAGGAAAATGAGACAAGGGACAATGAAAGTGAGGAAGCCAGTGGCATGAGATTAGGGCTCACTGCATACCATGAGGTCCCACTTCCTGACCCGCGGCCACAGACCTGGCTCTGAGCTTTCTACCTGCTGACGTGAAGAGGAAAATTGGCCCCATGTAAGCGTCACTGTGTCTTTAAGGTAAACACAGCCCCACTCTTCAGGAAAGGGACAGTCATTCTTGGGAGACAGGCCAGAGAAGCGTTTCTCCCAAGTTCTTAATCCCATAGTCTGAGCAATTTCATCACCTCCCCTTTCCACTTAACGTCACCTGCTGGGACCTGGATTTTTCTGAGGCTAGAGAGGCTTATTTGGAGATTGCTAGCAATTTTCAGTGTCTGGAGGTAGAAGGGACAGTCATGAAGGGGACGCTGCTCTGCTCTTTGGACTTGGTTAAAATACCTGAGTGGACCTTTTGATTATGCATAAGGAAAGTTAAAGTTAAAATGGAACACTGGGAAGTTTGGGAAACAAAACTGCCCTGCATAGTAACTGACAAGTCATTCTGCACCATGGATAGCATCATGTCTCTGCTGAGTTTGCAGTGATGGTGGTGATGAAGAGAGTGAGGATGAGGATGGAAGCTAGGCTTTACCAGAAGAGATGAGTGGCCGGAACACCCGAACAGGGAGGACCTCGCAGACCTCGTCGTGAGCATGGAGCAGGGACTCCAGACACATGTTTTGTTTCCAATTTGAAGCTTTCATTTTCTGCACTCTGGTCTTTGCTGGACTTGGGGATCTCAGGGGAGGGACCTAGCTGGATACATAGCTGGAGGCACTGACTTAAGCAAATTCCCCAGATAGGCAATTTTGGAAAAATTTTAAGGTAATTGACAATCGCTACCCACCGATCCGTAGTGGAAACATGGTAAAAAAGACAAGAAGAGTCATCAGTGAGGAAACAAGATGGGGATACAGCTAAAAAGGGGGGTGCCCGTTCCGTGGGCACCCCGTCCTGCTAACCACCCTGCTCATCAGTGCTGCTGGATGGGTGGTCTACACTAGGGGGAAGTGTTGAGGGGAGTTGTTAGCAGCCTGGGAGAGCCTGTGAAGCATGGCAAGTCCTGACCCTAACAAGGAGAGGGTCGCTGTGGGGATCAGTGCTGCCAGGGCTGATTGTGGAACGTGAGTGTGTCCCATGGGCACACTTCTTAGAAAACTTCCAGGGAAGGGAACCCAAAAAAGAACAGGCTCTGCCAACTGGGCCACCAGGGGCTGGAATTATTACCCTCTGGAGAATCACTGTGGAATGCACTGTTTATACGCAAAGCTGCTGAAGTGGGATGTGGCCTGTTACTATTATTATTATTTTTTTTTTTGCGGTACGTGGGCCTCTCACTGCTGTGGCCTCTCCCGTTGCGGAGCACAGGCTCCGGACGCGCAGGCTCAGCGGCCATGGCTCACGAGCCCAGCCGCTCCGCGGCATGTGGGATCTTCCCGGACCGGGGCACGAACCCGTGTCCCCTGCATTGGCAGGCGGACTCTCAACCACTGCGCCACCAGGGAAGCCCATGGCCTGTTATTTTTTAAATAAACTGTTTGTTGAAGTGAAAAATACATGCGAGAATGGAAAAGTACACAAATCATGCGTGCGGCTTGATGAATTTTCACACAAGAAACACACTCAAGTGACCAGCACCCCAATCAAGAAACAGGTCATCAGCTTCCTTTCTGTGTCCATGTCCCCTCACTAACCCACAACAAAATAATTTTATATTCAAACAGGTATGCCTTCAAGGTGACACCTTTTTATAAGGTTTAATTTTTAGTTTTTATTCAAGTTACATATGAACAGTTTAACAGTATATATAAAATACTATACATTTTATACACCCAAGATTTGCTATAAAAAAAAAAAGAGCATTCCCCAATCCGCTTATGTCACTCATGAAAAAGGAACTGTTTCAACGGGTTCAGCCAGTTTCTTGGGTGTCCACCCGTGTGAGTCTGATAATACGCATGTTTCGCTGTTTCTTGATTTTTTTTCAGTCTTAGGCATGATTTATTCACTTCCCTCTCTGGAGGATGGAGTGTTAGCTTCACTCCCTTTCTCGGCCCCTACCCCACACAGGACACCCCTCCCAGCTTCTCATCAGATAACTCTGGCGAGAGCAACCTTCAGTGTTTGCATTACTTTTACCACTGCAGACACTATTCAGGGCCGAGGCGTATAGCCAACTTTGCCGTCTTCATTCCAGCACATTTCTGGGGTTGTTTTCCCTAGAGTTAATAATTATCATTTTTATGCGTGCCTACTTTCCACAAATTTAACACTGACTCAACTTCACACTTGGCCAGTTACCTGAATCTCCTCTCACAGAGTTCCTCTCGTGGGCTCTGTCTCGTAAAGACATGTGCCAGCTTCAGTGCACTCTCTCTGCACGGCTGGCATCCTGAGACCCCCCCACCCCCCTCCTTGCCTCCTTCTCTCCTCCTCCCTAAATACGTTTCCCCCTCTGTGACTAGCCCCTCATTTTGGCAGAATATCACTTCCAGGAGCTTCCTGAGAAAGGACCCATGAAGGAAATAAGCTTTTGGAAAACTTGCATGTCTAAGAAGATCGTTACTCTAAGCCGGCCCTTGATTAAAGGTCGTCTTGCTGGATATAGACTTCTCGGTCGGAAATGATTTTCCTTAAAAGTGTGAACGCATTGCTCCATTGTCTTTTAGGTTTCTAGTGTTACTGTCGAGAAGCCTGGAGCTATTCTGAGTCCTGATCATTTTTGTGTGACCTGGTTTTCCTCTCTGAAAGCTTTTAGGATCTTGAACCGTTCCCAGTGTTTGAAGTTGCACAATGGTATGTCTTTGGTGCGAGTTAACTTTTATCCATTGTGTTGGGTGCTCACTGAGCCCTTTCAATCCAAAAACTCTCCTCTGTCAGTTCTGGGAAAATTTTCTGCCTTATGTCACTGATGCTTCTTCCCCTCTGTTTCTTCTGCTCTATCTGGAGCTTTTATTACTCAGATAGAGTTCTTGGCCTGATGGTCTTTTTTTCCATCTCATTTTATTTTTGTTCTGCTTTTTAGAAAACTTTCTGTTTTACCTTCCAGGCTTCCTGTGGATTTTTCATTTCTACTCTCATAGTTTAATTTCCTAAGGCTCTTTTGTGTTCTCTGAAGACTCCTTTTTCTTCCTTAGTAAAATGTAGCATCCTGTTTTAGTTTCACGGTTGTGTAGCTTCTCTCGATGTTTTCTTCTCCACGCATATTCCCCGTTTCCTACGAGGGCTCCCTATCACCATGTGTTTGTTTTAATCTCTATTGTTCATGTTAGAGGCTTTCCATGGATGTCTGGAATCTCAGCTGTCTGCTCACACTTAAGACTGGGGGCCCAAAAAGCTGGCTGCAGTGGAGCTTGTCGATGATGGGTTACATGATTGACTGTGCGTTATTTGGGATGTGACTTGGCTGGGCTGTTTCATCTAGGAATCCTCACTGTCAGTGTCTTTACATCTTTTCTCTTCACATCTCTTTTCTCTGAAGAGAAGAGACTCCGATTCCCCACACTCTTCTACTGTCTAGCCTGGAGGGTAATATCCTGGCACCCTTCTGGGAGTCAAGTGGTACAGGCGGGCTGGGGTCTCAATCCTCAAGTCCATGTTCACTTAATCAGCGTGTTTTCAGTATGATGCACCTCAAAAAAAGAAACCTCCAATTTTTCCCCCCGTTGGGGATGGGCAGTGGCCTGGTTGCACTGATCTGGGAAGGAGATCTGGTGGTCTGTGTCTCAGGAACAACTCTGCTCCAATCTTCTTTCAGGCCCTCCTCACTTCACTTCCACGCTGAGACAGCCACTCCCTCCAATTTCCGAGGCTTTTGCACGTGCTCCAGGTAGACTAGAGGCCTGTTTTTTCCCTATCAGCCCATTTTCTCTTTTCTCCAGTCTATCAGACAGGCTGCCACCTGACCTTCTGCTTTCCAGCCTCCAAATTTTACTGCTGTTCTTTTCTCTCCAAGTCTCCCTGTCCTTGTACATGTATGCCATAAAAATCTCTTCTCTGATATTTTCTTAGTTTCAGGAATGAGTGAAAGCACGTGGGTGGTTCAACTGGCATTTTTAGCTGCAAGGCTCCCAGTGACTGATTTTTCAAATGGGAAACCAAGGCCCGGAGGAGGAAGGAGCATGGTGAGGTCCCAAAGAACCCAGCTCTCCCAAGTTCTCATCTTTCAGAGGATGGAGGGACCCCAGTATAGCCCCCAAACCTTAGAATTTGACTGGCTGACTTGGATTAAATGAAGAGAACTGGTTTTGAGGTCAGACACTCCTGGGTATAAAAGCTATTCCTGCCACTTTTTACCAGTGTGACCTTGGGGAAGATACTTTCCCTCTCTGGGCCTCAGTTTTATTTGTAAAATGGGAACAACAATACCTTGCAAGGTTGTGCGTGCGTGCGTGCGTGCGTGTGTGTGTGGAGCAAGGTTACTTTAAACATAAGTAGAGTGCCAGCATATTGCCCTCCAGAAATTTAATAGGTGTACATTAAATGTGAGTTCTCTTCTCCTTCCCCATGGAGCTAGAGATTGCGCCAGAGATGACAACAAAGCCTCCATCCCCAGGGCAGGGCCCCACCTGCAGCCAAAGCCCTACAGAAGCCAAGGCAAGGTGGCAAAACTCTCACAAGCCCCAGCAGATCATTTGAGTTACAGGGAGGCATGTTACCTCACCGGTCTATCAACATGCTGGAGAGCTTGACTTGGAAGGCAAACCTGGCTTATAAAATCCAAAGAAAGTCATGAGGAGCCTTGGGTCATGCCTATTTCACTGGGATGCTTGGACTGGGCCCTCCCTCACTGGTTTGCATCTTAGAACTAGTGATCCGAGATGACTCCTTCTTTAACAATCAAAATGACGGTGTCTTGGGACTTCCCTGGTGGTCCAGTGGTTAAGACTCTGAGCTTCCAATGTGGGAGGCACAGGTTCGATCCCTGGTTGGGGAACTAAGATCCCACATGGCACGTGGCGAGGCCAAAAAAAAAAAAAAAAGAAAGAAAAAGAAAAACCAAAACGATGGTGTTTTTGAACCTGATGGAGCATTTAGTAGCGTCCAAAGTCATATGATAGGACTGTATCAATTCCTACCACGAATCATGTATTTATTCTTATTGGTTCCAGGGATCAGTTAAAAATCTTTGTCATTTCAAATGCCAATGAATTAATAATATCAAATAAATATTGTTATTATCTATTGCGACTTAAGAATGTGACAAGTACTATTCCAAATACTTTGTATTTAACTAAATTAAGCCCCATAACACCTCAATGTGATACTATTATTATGTCAATTTTATAGATGAAGAATTTGAGGCACAGAGAAGCTGCGTCACTTGTGCAAAGTTACACGGCTAGCTAGGAAGTTACATATCCTGGATTTGAACCCCAGCAGTCCAGCTCCAGAGTCGACATTCTCTAAATGTATTTCCTGTCAAGAGAATATTTATTGAGCCATTAATATGTCCTAAGGGAATTGCACTAAGTGGTTTATCTAGACCAGTGGTTTTCAGCTGGGGGCAATTTTGCCCCCCTAGGGCAGTGTCTGGAGACGTTTTTGGTGATCACAACTCTGGGTGGAGAATGTTACAGGCATCTAGTGGGTAGAGAGACCAGGAATGCTATTAAACATCCCACAACACCCAGGACAGCCCCCACTAGGAATGCTTCATTCCTGCCACTTGACTCTTTTTTCCCCACCTTACCGTTATACTTTGGAAACTTTCTATCTACAGGAAGTTTGAAAGCATAATGTAATGAATACTGATGGATCCTTCACCTAGATCCACCAACGTTTAACATTTCCCCACATATGTTCTGTCTATCCCTCCCTCCACTCCAGTTCTTTCTCTCAGTAGGATGCCTGGTTCATAGCAAGCCCTCAGAGAATGATTACTGGAAAATGGTGGCAAAAGATGAAAACCTATCCCATATTCAAAACCATCAATGTGTCATTGATCTGCTCATTTAAGACTGACACCGTAATTTTTTCATTTTTTCCCCCTGGACTTTTTTGGAATTAAGTTGCAGACATGATGCCACACACGTGTCTTAAAAACAGGACACTCTCGGGACTTCCCTGATGGTCCAGTGGTAAAGAACCCGCCTTCCAATGCAGGGGACGTGGGTTCAATCCCTGGTCAGGGAACAAAGATCACACATGCCACAGGGCAACTAAGCCCGTGCGCCACAATTACTGAGCTCACATGCCTCAACTAGAGAGCCCGTGTGCCGCAAACTACAGAGCCCTTGCGTTCTGGAGCCCGCGCGCCACAACTAGAGAGAGAAAACCCGCACACCACTGCTAGAGAGAAGTTCGTGCACCATGATGAAAGATTCCGCATGCCTCAACAAAGATCCCACATGCTGACACAGCCAAAAAAATAAAAAATAAGATAAAATATTATTTAAAAAATTTAAAATTTCTAAAAGTGTAAAAAAAAAAAAAAAGTGGTAAATTACCAAAAAAAGAACCCTCAACACATCCGAAAAGGTCAATGGGCTCCTTGAAAGCCACTGATCTGGCATATTTCCCTATGCTGGGAATGAGGACTGGGGACCCTGGCATATGCCTCTTCCCCTCCTGCAGAAACCAGGGAGACAGGAAATTTCCTTCACTCAGAAATACTGACAGCAGCGTATAAGCAGATGTACTGTGATACGTGTTATGAACAAAATAAACAGAGAGCCATTACAGAGGCTAATGCTGGGGAAGGGAGTCTGTGGATGGGGATGTCAGAAGCAAACCTCTCAGAGGACATGACCTGAAGGAAGAGACTGGAAGGGTGAGAAGGAGCCAGCTGTGCAAACAGACCAATAGAAAAGCTTCCTAGGCAGGGGAGCAGCAATTACAAAAGCCCCAAGATGGAAAGGTTCGGGGCAGGCGAAGGGAGCACGATGTACGTACTCAGCGCATCTGGAGCCTTAGTGAATGAAAGCCTGCGATGAGGTGAGAGTGGCCAGCAGGGGCCTGATCACATGTGACTGTGTGGGCTATGGAAAGAGCAATGGGACAAAATACACGTAACATAAAACTTACCGCTTTAACCATTTTAAAATACACAGCTCAGGGGCATTAAAGACATTCATACTGTTGTGCAGCCATCACCACCATCCATCTCCAGAACTTTTTCATCTTCCCAAACTGAAACTATCCTTTAACCAAGAACTCCCCACTGCCCCCAGCCACTGAAGGGCTTTCAATAAGAAGACAAGTAATAAGTCTGGCATTTTGAGATGACAAATGAATGAACGGAAATGGAATGAAAATGGTAGATGAATCACTGCAAAGCACAAGTAGGACCTGGAAAACAGTAGAGATGGTGGTGGTTTGGACAAGGAGTGGAGACGAAAGAAAACAGGTAGATCTGAGAAACACTGAGAGGCAACAGAGGCAAGACTCAGTGTGGCCATTCCCTCCTCCCTGTAGTTGTGTTTTAGTGTGTCCTGGGGCAGGGGAGGTACTCACAGCTGACCTGGGAGCCCAGCTTGTGCTCCCAGACGGCATGAAGCTGTTGATACTCCTGCTGCGCGAGCTCCAAGCGCTGCTGCTTCACCTGGTAGATCTCCTTTTGTGCACTCAGGGCCTCCTGGGCCACCACCAGGTAATCCTTCAGCATGTGCTCCTGCTCCCGCCGCCATTGTACCCGGGGATCCTCAATCTGAGTGGTTTCTAGAACAGACCCCAGAGACCCTAGGTTAGCACCTCACAAATGTCTGTTGAGTTGGTGGCCTGTAGAATCTACTACCAGAAAACAAAAAGCATAATAAGTAGAAAATCACAATAAATGTGAATGGGTTAAACTTACGTATTAAACAACAGAGACTCTTCCTGTGGATTAAGCAAACAAATACACACACACACAAACCAGGATCAATTTACAAACCTGAAGTCAGTCTGTCTGGGAACAGCCAGAGGAAGGGCCAGATATGAGTTCTAATCTAGACAGAGAGGCTCAACAACATTATAGACACTTAAGGTCATTTGTTTTGGCAAAGAGTAAAGGAAAGTAAAATAACTGATATTTCAGAGGATATGAAGAAATACTGTGTTGGAACTGTAAATTAGAACAGCCTTACTAGAAGGTTATCTGACCGTGAAAATCAAGAGCCTTAAAACGTTAATACCCTTTGTCCAATAATTTCTCCTGTAGTGATTTATTATAAAAAGCAATAAATTCAGGCAAAAATGCATTTGTACAAAACCATAATAATCATCAAGCACTTATTTAATGTTTACTCTATGCCAAGCACTATTCTAATTACTTTATATCTATTTACTCCTCCAATCCTTACATTAACCCTATAGGGAAGATTCTTTTATTACCCCCATTAAACAAAAGAGAAAACTGAGACATAAAGAGGTTAAGTGACTTGCTCAAGGTCACACAGGAAACAACTGCTCAAATAAGTATGCTATATTTACATAATACACTAAAACAGCCATTAAAAATAATGTCTTCGAAAAAAAATTTTTAAAAAAACAGAAAGGTGCTTATGATATAAAAGTGAGTAGAAGCACTGGGTGCAAAACTGCATAAATAATTTTGTATTTATCAAAATACATATATACATTCTCAAAAAGATTAGGAGGAAACTTAACAAATTATCAACAGCAGATATGTCTTGATGGTAGGATGCCTTTTCTTCATTCTTTATTTTTTTAAATTATGTGTACAATAAATATGTACAGTGATAACTTGGAAAAAAGTCAGAAGACAAAAAAATTTTTTAAAAAGGGTAGCTGGCGGCTGAGCAGATGTCAAAGAGGTCAAAACCATGTCCAAGAATCAATGCCCGTTGACTGTCAACTCCTCAGTCATCTCCCAGTTGGTGGGTGGGGTAAGGGGCGACTAACACACCAGAAATTGTATAATCACAGCCATATGGTGAATCCAGCCTGTAGAGAGGTTTTGCTTAGCCCAAAGAACTTTATTAATTTTGAACTGATTACTGGTATGTAAAAACAAGGAGATTTATACATTAAAATCCTGATGTCTGGTTTTTCCCGATCATTCAGAAGATCTGGCCACTGTGGGTCCACAATTTATCTGCTTCATTCCTTTAAGTCATGTGTGTGGCTCCTGAGGGCTTTGAGTTTGTACCTCCTTTTGCAGTCCCTTTAGCTCTCAATCCTCCTGAATAGGCCCCAATGGGTATTTCCAATGAAAGAAAGAGACGGGAAGAATAATCAAAGAGATAGCAGGGCCACCTTCTCATGCCTGCCAATAATCACTGTGTTACAATGGGCAGGCTGCTTGACCTCTCTGAGTCTACTTTTCTAATTATAAAAGAGGATAATGGGCCCTGCCTCACTGCTTCCCAGGAAGCTGTAGTGTACTTACACCCAGGTAAAGCAAACAAATGATGGTGAGAGTAAAGCCAAAACTATTCAATTCTTCAAGCTCTCTTCCTCCCTTTTTCTGGGAAAGAAAACAAGGTGTGAAGATGGCCGGCAGGGGCCAAAAAACTGCTTCCCACAAAGAAAGCTCTGCAACTCTTTAACCAAGTAAGACAGAGGAACGCTTGCAAGAGAAGAAAAAAAGCGGGAGGAGAGAATTTACAAAGCTGGGCTGAAAGACTGTGGGGTCCCATTTCCCATCAGCAGATGTGGCTTCCCTCAGAGTTAGGGACTCCTGGGTTCCCCTCAGGGGTCCCGCACTTCTGGCTGACACAGGCCACAGAAAAGAAAAGAAACGTGGCCAGGGTGCAGATGTTTTTTAAAGTTTGTCATATTTTTAAAAGTTTACATTTTGGGGAAAAATACTGAAAAATACAAAAAAAGAAAAATCTCACAATTCCACCATTGCAAATTCGTAAAGTAAGAAATGAGAGTTTAAATCTCTCCAATCCTACATCCTAGAGGTACCTGCCGTTAGGAGTCTCACACACTAACAGATATTGCCCTATGATTATAAACAAACCTGTTTATACATACATATCTACACACACAAATTTATTTTTAATGTACAGTGGCCCATGTCATGTATATTGGTCTGCAATTTGCTTTCATCTCCAAATGATATATCATGTTCATTTTCCCTTGTAGGTACATAAAGATTTACCTCAATTTTTAATTTATCCTTTTTTTTCATTTGTACCACTGTTTTTATTTATTCATTTTTATCTTTTACTTACCTCAATCATTTAAATGGTTGCATAGTATTCCATGGTACGGTGCTAAGATTTATTTATGATAGGGCTTTAGTGGTCTCCCAGACCACTACCAGGAAACATCCGGATTGTTTTCACTTCTTTTGCTACCACAACCAATGCTGTAGTGAGGATTCTTAAAAACATACTTCTATGAACGTGTGCTATTATTAATTCTGTAGTGTAAAAAGAGGAATTCCTTAAAAGAGGAATTACTGGGTCAGTGGGTATACACATCTTAAATTTCAACAGACACTACCAAATTATCTTCCCAAAGGTTGTACCAATTTTTATTCTCACAGACAGCCTTATGAGAGTGCCTTACGTGTGCTATTATTAATTCTGTAGTGTAAAAAGAGGAATTCCTTAAAAGAGGAATTACTGGGTCAGTGGGTATACACATCTTAAATTTCAACAGACACTACCAAATTATCTTCCCAAAGGTTGTACCAATTTTTATTCTCACAGACAGCCTTATGAGAGTGCCTTTTCCCCCAGACTCTCTGCAAAATTGCTTTAAAAAAAAAAAAAAAAAAAAAAGGTTGGTACTTCATCCAGTACACTGAGTCCAGTCAGCATATTATAATTAGCTATGGAGCTTCAAAAAACAAAAATAAAAACAAAAGCCTGAATTCTGCCCCCAGAACACTTAACATCAGAGTTTCCAAGAGTAGGGCCCAGGCATTGGCAGTTTTAAGCTTCGCCAGGTAACTGCTGTGCAGCCAATGTCCAAGAACCCCTGTTTGCATAGTAGAATCACTGGGGGAAATTTTTAAAAATCCCGATGCTCAGACCCCACCCCTGGACCAATTAAATCAGGATCTCTGGGGGTGGGAAGGAGGCAGTGGTGACCCGCAAAGCTCCCCAAATAATTTCAACATATCACCGAAGGTTAGAACTGCTAAGAGGTGACAACACGGGTGGGCTGAGCAGTCACTGAAGATGGCAGGCAAGGCTGGCAGGTGCGATGCTGGGCTCCGGATAGAATCACCTGCCAGAGGGCTAGGTGAAATGCTGGGTCCCTGACAAATGCCCTGGGGCACCCCTGGATGGATCCTCCCCATGGTGCTCTGGGTTTAATCTGAGAGTGGCGCCCTCCCTTTGGAGGCCGCGCTCCTTGGAGTATAAAAGCACGTGAGAGGCTTAATTGAAGGCTGGCTTGGCTACCATTTTGGTGACCCAGGCTTTCTTCTGTAGCACAAACCAACACGGATAGATGGATGCACAGGCAGACAAACACAACCCACAACCCCACACCAGAACACTGGTTTCAACCTGGTTGCATGTTGGAAATTACCCCAGAGATTTCCATTTAATTGGTCTGCAGTATTAAGTGGGCATCAATACATTGTTTAAATCACCTTTACTAAGGCGTAATTTAAATACAGTGAAGCGCAATCATCTAAAGTGTAGACTTGGATATGTTTTGACAAACGCATACACCATAAACTACCACTTGTTATCAATGTGTAAATGGTTCCTTTACCCTGCAGTCCTGTGTCAGTCACTTCCACCCACTTCCTCCCTCCGGTTCTGTCTTAGAACTTGATGGCAATGGAATCAAGCAGTATGTGCTCTTTGGATCTCACCTCCTTCACTTGGCATAAGGCTTTTGAGACTCATTCAGGTTGTATCAGTCGTCCATTTTTTGTTATTGTGGAATAATAGTCTACTGCATGAATACAGCATAATTCACTTTTTGATAAACTTTTGGGTTGTTGTTTGAGATTATTATGAATAAGGCTGTAATGAACATGCACGCACAAGTCTTTGCAATGTCTGCATTTTGCTTAGGTAAAAACTATCTAGGGGTGGAATTGTTGGCTTGTACGTTAATTATATGTTGAATTTTATAAGACACTAAAAAACTGTTTTCCAAAATGGTTGTTCTGATTTACATCCTCACTAGCAGTGAATTAGAGTTCCAGTTCCTCCAGATCCTCACCAACCACTGGTACTGTCAATCCTTTTCATTTTAGTCATTACAGTGGGTGTATAGTGGTACCTCACTGTAGATTTAATTCCTATTTCCCTAATGACTGATTATGTAAAGCATATTTTTATGTGTTTACTGGCCACTTGTATGTCTTCTTTAGTGAAGTGTCCATTTACATCTTTTGCTCATACTTTTTATTGGGTTGTTGGGCTTCTTACTATTAAGGTGTAAGGGTTTCTTTTTATATTCTGCTGTCAGATATATGTATTGCAAATATTTTCTCCTTATCTGTACTTGCCTTTTCAGTTTCTTAATGGTCTTTTGAAGAGCAGAAGTTTTAATTCAATGAAGCCCAATTATTACTTTTTTCTTGTATGCTTAGTGCTTTCTGTGCCTTGTCCAAAAAACCTTTGCCTACCCTAAAATCTTGCAGATTTTCTCCTTAGTCTCCTTCTCGAAGTTTTCTAGTCTTAGCTTTTTTGTGTGTGTGGTACGCGGGCCTCTCACTGTTGTGGCCTCTCCCGTTGCGGAGCACAGGCTCCGGACGCGCAGGCTCAGCAGCCATGGCTCACGGGCCCAGCCGCTCCGCGGCATGTGGGATCTTCCCGGACCAGGGCACGAACCCATGTCCCCTGCATTGGCAGGCGGACTCTCAACCACTGCGCCACCAGGGAAGCCCATAGTCTTAGCTTTTATTTTGAGGTCTGTGGTCCATTCTGAATTTATTTTTACATATGGTGTGAGGCGGGGGTAGAGGTGGAGATGTATTTTTTTTCCACGTGGATACCAGTTGTACTAACAACTCTTGAAAAGACTGTCCTTTGGGGACAGCTCCCTAGGTGGCTGTAAGGAGCTGTGCTAACTGCTGTTCAGCCTGAACTGGTCACACTCTGAGGGGTCCTCCCAAGCCCAGCCCCTTCTGCTGACGCTCCACTTCCTTAAGTCTACCCCACCAGAACAGATAACTTTACACCTGCGCAGGTTCCTAGAGGTGTCCTTGGCCAACTGTTTTTGAGTTCTTGTTTTCATTAAAGCTAAACATGGACATAGTTTAATCATTCAGCATGTCACAAACTCAGCCTCATACACCATCACCCCTCTATCCCCTTCCCCCTCATGCCCCCTCTCCCCAAAATGCAGGTGCTTCCAGTAAACGTTTAGCTGATTGGGTACAGCCGTCATTGAGACCCAGTTCTTCAGCCTCCCCCAGGCTCCAAACCTCTACCTACAAACACACTCCACACTCAGTCTCCATACAGCTCACACGTTCACCGCACTTCACACATCCCTCACCCCACCGCCTCTACCCATCACACGCCTGCTCTCTACGCGCACCACATGCGCACCCACATGACTAACACTATTGAATTCTCTAACGGCTTGAACAACAATTGTCTTAAAAACAGCTGAACATCTGCAGAACGTCCATCCTTGTTAGTATGGAAATGAATGCAAACGAAAAACAATGAAGTAACAGTTTAAACCTGTGATGAATTTATCGAAAAGTAACTAGCCCCATACTGATTGATGAAGGTATGAGAAAAACAGTACCCTTATTGCTGTGGCGATACAGATTGACACGATCTTTTAGAAATACTTATCAAACTAGGAAGAGGTACCAGAAGTCTCACAAGTGTTCATAATCTTTCACTTAGCGATCCTACATTTGGAAATACAACTCCAGGAAAGTATCATAGAAGAAAAAAGCAATATGCATAAAGATTCTTCCCCTAGTGTTATTTATTTATAACAAACAAATGGAAAGAACCCACAAGGTCAGCAATAGGGGGGTATTATGGTACACTCATTTTATGTGTTAAAATGTATCAATACATTGATTTGATACATTAAAAATGACAAATATGAAGACTAGGCAGCATCTCTCAAATATTCATGACATAGTATGAAGAGAAAACAGCAGAACACCCAACCTGATCACTGATTAAAACCATCTATCTAATCATGCTGGATGTACACGGCACTGGGAAAACTGAATATGGATAAATGAAATAATGAAAGAGGGTTATATCTTGGAAAGAGTTGTCCATATTTGCTGTTTCCAATGCCTCCCCTCCGTTGTTTTTTAGACTCACTCTAGTCAGGCTTTTGCCCCCAGTCCTTGTCCAAAGCTGCCCTCCAAGTCAGGGTCACCAGCGTCACAGGGGTTTGCTAAATCTCTCGGTCAATTCTCAGTCCTCTTCGTACTTGATCTGTCAGAAGCATTTGACAGGGTTGACACCTCTCTCCTCGGTATGCCTCCTTCACATGGCTGCCAAGACGCTCTCGCTTTCCTCCCACCTTTCCGATCACTCCCCAGAATCATGACTTGGTTTTCCTCTTTTCTGTACCTTCCTCCTGTCTGAGGACCCCATGGCTCATTCTTTGATTGTCTTCTCTCTGTCTTAACTTATTCCTTTGGTGATCTCATCCAGCTTCATGTCTTTAAATACTCTCTATATGCCAACAACTCCCATATACACATCTTCAGCCCAGATCTCTTTTCCAAACACCATATTCCTACATCAAACTGACCAGCGTCATCTTCTCTCAGGTGTGTAACAGGCATGGAAGATGCGACACATCCCAATGAACCCTTGGTCCTCCTTCCTAAACCCACTCCTCCTGCAGTTTTCTCCATCCAATAAATGGCAACTTCATCCTGCCAGCTGCTCAGGCCCAGAGAGGCTCATTTATCCCGTTCTTTCACACCCCACGTGCAATCTATCAGGAAGGCTTGTTGGCTCTATCTTGAAAGTACCTCCAGCTTCAGGCCACTTTTCACCACCTCTACCACTACGGCCTTGGTCTGGGGCACCGTCCTTTGTCACCTGGACTATTGCAATCATCTCTTACAAGTCTCCCTGCTTCTGCCCCTGTTCCACTGAGGTCTATTCTCAGCAAAGCAGCCAGAGCGACCCTTTTAAGATATAAAACAGGTCACGCCACTCATCTGCTTAAAATTTTCCAATGGCTCCCACCGTGTTGAATAAAAGCCTGAACCCTTCAGGTGGACCACTGCCCACACCCTGCTGGCCTGATACCCTTCTCCCCGCTTCCTCACAAAGTCTGCTATACGCACACCTGCGTCCTTGCCATCCCTCAAGCATGCTAAATGTGATCACGCGGTGGAGTTTTTATTCGGTCAGCTCTCCCTACTTGAAACGCTCTCCCCATCTCCTTCAAGTCTTAGCTCAAATCTCATTTTCTTGACAAGGTCTTCTTCCTGAAGACCTTTACCACTATCCCTGCCCGCCACCCACAGAGGCACCCCAGCACACCTCAGCCCCATGCTCTGCTTCCCCTTTTCCCGTAACGCTGATCATTTTCTAACATACTACATAATCTGCGTACTTATTCTGTTTATTTTCTGTTTCTCCTGCCAAAATGAAAGCTCTGTAAGGATAAGGATCATTGCCATTTTGAACTCTCACGTACCCCACGCTCCCAGAACAGTGCCTAGAACATTGTAGGAGGTCAATAAATATTTGCTGAATGAATGAACGCTGGATGGTGGATTTAATTTGTTGCTCAATTCTATTGTGTCTAGAACTCTTAAGAGAGTACTTTCAGTCAGTGGACACACAGAGGATTGGTCTGAGCCCACAGCTCTGAGTGCTTGGGCCTCGATGGTCACACACATACCGCATCTGTATCACTGGCTCCGTCTGCGGAGGTGGTACCCTCCGTCCAATGAGAGCACCTTCCAGCCAAAAGAAAACCAGTAGCCCGACAGCTGGTAAAACTACCAGAGAGAATTCTTCCTACTGTGTTTCTCACTGACTCACCTCCCAACACATACCCCCATTTCTGCCATCATCCCCTCCAGAATAAACTCTGCCACTGCATGATACCCCGTCCTTTTCTCTCTCCAACAACTCCCAGAAGCACCTAAAAAACTCACTCCCACCATCAGATTTTAAGGAGGGGGATGCACTCAGCAATTACAAACAGGAAAGGACTGATTAGGGGTCCTGTACATCAGTGTTTAACCCAGCATACCATGCAGCCCTCCAAGCATTAACCTCATTCCCCATATATACTCAATTAGGCATATTTACTTCTCATTATCCCGTATGCAACCACGAATGCTAATAAAAACCTCGGCTACCACCAACAATGCAATCAATGCCATTAGCTGTCTCTCAGAAACTCTCCTATGCTTTGGTGCCAACAACAGTCTGCTCGTTCACCCACTTGGTCGTGCATCCATGCACGTGTGCCCTTTTCTATGTAGCAAAGGTCAAGTGCACACCTACTATGTGCCTTACCAGGCAAAGGCCTGGGACTAGACAGATGAATTAGACATTGTCCTGCTCTAGAAGAGCTAGTCTCAGTAGGTTAATGGTTATACTACAGAGCGATGAGGGGCACAGCAGAGGTATGACCAGGTGCTACTGAAACCCAGAGGAGGAAGTGGATGGAGAAGCCCAACTCCACTCCCAGCACCAGTTCAAATCCCAGCTCTGCCATGTTTTGACTCTGAGTGTTGAGCAGTCGATTTCTACCTCTGAGTCCCATTTATAAGGTGGAGACAATTACCCTAGCATGCCACAGGGAAGCTGGGATGACTGAATGAGTGATGTCTCTCCAGTTCCTCTCCCAGCACACAGCACAGAGTGCACACTCAGGAAACAGGGACCACTGGGATTTGGTGCCCTAATCTCAACTTTCAGAAACATGCCTTTGCATCCCATTTTCCTCTTGCCTGAAAGGACAGAAAGGAATCCCACAGTTCAGAAGGTGGAGAGCGAGACAGAAACATCCTCTTTCCTCTGTACACGTGAACAAATGGGGCAGCGATTTTCCGAGGACAAGAATAGTCTTGGCCGAGAAGGTGCGTGATGGATGAGGCCCAAATACACATCAACTCTCCCCAGCTGGGGTACCTCGACCTGGGTTCTTCCACCTGTCAGACAACAAGCTTCTTCCTGTATCAACCTATGCCTCCATCACAGTCACAGAGACAAAGACACTAAGAATCTTCACTCTGGGTCAGGATACCTGGAGCACAGATACGATGTGAGGGTGGGCTGAACGGTATGATGGGCTAGAGGCACATACACTCAGACCACTCCATGACAGACACATATGTGTGCATGCTGGCTGCTGGGGACCTGCTTTGGGGGCAGTGGCTGCTCCAAAATGGTCTGGCAATGACAAGGACACATCTACCTTATATGAAAAAAATCTGTATGCATGGAAATCAATATATGTAAAAAAAAGCAAAAGAAGAATATATGTACATATACACATAAACACACATGACTGGGAAATTTCTGGAGTGATACACAAGAAATTGATAGCAGTGGTTGCCTCTGTAAAATCGGGGAGATGGGTTGTGAGAGGTGGAGTTTTAGATTCTATTTAAAATCCTTCTGAACTGTTATTTATATATGAGCATACATTATCTATCTATATCTACATTGACAACTCTGTCTAACTCTACGTGAAACAAAACACAATCTGGCTTCATGAGTCCCTGCTGGTAGCTCTTCCAGACTTGGGGGGCTGGGCAGGAGGCAGAGGGATAGGCAGAGGGGATGGGGAGGGAGGACGGCCAGGAACTTACTGGTGTTGTGGTCTATGAAGTAATCTCCAACCTGTGGGTCGTACGCCTCTTCCCATCCCAGCGGCAACTCATCACTAATGCAGTCAGCAAAGGTGAGCGGTTTGGTGTACCTGGCAAGGGAGAGGAGAAACAGACTCCATCAGCCTACGGTCCCCAAGACCCCGCAACACGTAGGTGCTCTCAACCTCCCTGCTCCTCTGCGCTGGCCCACCAGATCCAGAAGCTTTGCACTGTGACACCAGCTCTGCTGTCCCCGGGGAAGATGAACGCATAACTGGAGCAGTGGGATGGGAGCACCTGGGAGGGAGGCGGGGAATGTGCTCGGCTCCCAACTTTGCCACAAACTGGGCGGTGATTTGAGCAAGTCACCTGCTTTCTCTGGGCCTCTGTTCCTGCACCTCTAAGTGAGGGGGGGGGGGTCACAGGAAAGGGCTCGAGGGTCAAGTCTTACTTCCGGACTCGAACTCCAGCCCTTTCTGGCTGCTCCTCCTGCAGTTCACTTGTCCACCACAGCCCCAGCCATCCCCCCGGCTCTAGCCCATGCCTGTCCTACCTACTTCCCCTCTAGAAAGCTAGCTTACTGCAGCATCTAGAATAGCAGATGTTCCCTCCTTGTGAGTTTGGCCGTATTTCTTTGCTTCCTGGGCTGATTCCCAAATGCCTGTACCCACTGCTGTCCTTCCCCGCAAGATCCAGGCCAAACTGATCTTTTAGCGATAACCACCCTCTAAGTCACCATATTCTGGGGAGTGAGGTGGTGGTAATCACCCAGTCTTGGTGGCTAAGTCTGATGGACAGACAGACAAATCACCCAACTAAACACACAAAGGTTTTTCAAGGCTGGAAAACACCATAAACCCTTGGTCAAGCACTTGAGCCAGCGTGCAGGGAGCCGGGAATCGAGGTACACAAAAGTCAGCCTGAGTGACTCTATTACTGAGGACAGATAAATCTGGGAGCGAACATGAATGCCTGAGCCAACCACAGTCAGACCTTTGTTTCTGACTCATTCCTCTCCCTGGGCTCAGCCCTGAGAAGCCCCACCTGCCAGCCTGGCTGGGGAGACGGGAATCTTGTTAGTTACACTTTGCAACCTAGAAAATCAAGAAGGTAAAGATACATCTCCTCTCCACAGCTCCCTGAATCCCTGTGTGGATCATTACCTTTCAAAATTCTTCCCTGGGGATGAATTAAATGATTTCATCAATGGTGCATCTAAGCAACAGAATCCCCATGATCGGTGCTCAATAAATATTTGTGGAATGGGTGAATACAGTAATGAATACCTAAGAACAAAAAATAATGGTGTGTTCTATATTTTGCCAACATGGAAGGATGCTCTTAACATACTATGAGGAAAAGCAACATTGTTGAACAAGATATATACAATGGAATATACTCAGCTGTAAAAAGAAACGAAATTGAGTTATTTGTAGTGAGGTGGATGGACCTAGAGCCTGTCATACAGAGTGAAGTTAAGTCAGAAAAAGAAAAACAAATACCATATGCTAACGCATATATATGGAATCAAAAAAAAAAAAAAAAAAAGGTACTGATGAACCTAGTTGCAGGGCAGGAATAAAGAGGTAGACATAGAGAATGGACTTGAGGACATGGGGTGGGAGGGCAAAGCCAGGGCTAAGTGAGAGTAGCATCGACATACATACATTACCGAATGTAAAATAGATAGCTGGTGGCAATCAGCCGCATAGCACAGGGAGATCAGCTTGGTGCTCTGTGACCACCTAGAGGGGTGGGATAGGGAGGGTGGGAGGGAGGCTCAAGAGGGAGGGGATATGGGGACATGTGTATGCGTATGGCTGATTCTCTTTGTTGCGCAACAGAAACTAACACAGTATTGTGAAGCAATCATACTCCAATAAAGATCTATTAAGAAAAAAAAGCTACAGGATACTGTTACAGTATATGACATTTTGCCTAAAATGTGTACATGTTTATAGAAGAGGAACTGGAAAGATATACATTAAAATGCTATCTTGGTATAGGGATTTTAACATAATTTAACTTTTTCCTTTCTAATCATTTTTTTAACTAGTTTCTCTGTGATATTCCTAAATCAGTTGCAATTAAAACATTTAATAATGGCTAAATCTAGGCCTAGAAAACAAGTTACGTACATATCATGTTCCTTTCTCTGGGCCACAGGCACTCTTCCTCCATTTTACCACTGAGAAAACACACCCAACGCCACAGAGTTGGCAAACACCAGAAGTATAACCTGAAGCCCCACTGCCTGACTACAGAACCTGAGCTTTGCTAATAAAAACTGACAAGACCAAGGGAGTCTCACAACAATCTGGAACACAAAGGAAGCTATGCCCGAGATACAGATGATGAAGCTGGGCAGGGGGGATATCTGAAGCAGGCAGAAGGTACCCAAGCTGCGTCCTATTTGCAACTTCAGTATTCTACATCTTGGTGCAAAGCTACTCAATACACTTGGATAATGCACGACTGCTTCATGAAAAGACAACTGTTTCACAGTTACCACGACAAGGGATTCACTGAGCTCTGTGTGTGAGGATGGGGACTGAGGGAGGAGCGGCAGGTCTAAAACACCCAAAATGCATCTCTTTTCCAGAAAACCATTAACTCCACTGATTGTTCCAGCCTTGGACATCAGGAAGCCAGACCTGAAGTAAACGTTAAGTACAAGTATCAGTAATGTACCCGACATTGGATATCCTACCAGGGCTGAGATGCTGGTTCCTGCCTGAGGTGAACACAGACATCGTGCCCCACAGGGATAAAGAAGAGGGAATCCAGAGGACCCAATGTGAGACGGAGGGGGGGCAAGAGGAGAAAGGAAGGCTTTGGGTTTGATATTCAGGCTTCCCTTCAAAGCGATCATGGAAAAAAAACCCAGAGGGCTGATATCCAGACTCCCAGAGCTCTTCCATGGGAAAGAGAAAAGCTTCTATTGGAAGACTATGCAACTTACAAGAAATCTGGACAGCGAGATTCTCTCTGGAACAAATGCCAAGAGGGAGATGAATTATTCAGTGTGCAGAGACGTGTCATTCAGAGAATAAGGATGAAGAGAAGCGTTTTTAGCTGCACAAGGATTTAAACACACACACACACACACACACACACACACACACACACACACGTGCACACACTCCTCTTCCCAGAGAGAGGAACTGTCCGTTTAAACCAGTCTCCCCTGGGAAACTGTGGGTGCTTCTCTGGCCTGCAGTGCCTCCCCTTGGGCAAGTGCCAAGAATGTGAGCTGGGAAGAGATGTCTGCTTTCAGATGTGGCCAGGACTTGGGGGCCTGCCTGCAACTCCCAGCCCCCAGCCCCTGTTGAAGCGATTTGCCCCAATCCAGCCCGGTACAGTCCCTTCCTCCAGCCTCCAGGTCCTGGGCTGCTGAAAACCCAGATCGTGAAATCAAATGACCCAAATGCCGGAGGGGTGAGAGGGAAAGA